TCTTTTGCGTAAAACTAAAATTCATGCCAATATTTTTCCATGATTTATAATAATTGGAGTAATGCAAATGCATATTTTCTAAAAAAGTCAATTTTTAGTGAAATTTTGCCGGGAATGGGGCTTTAAATTCTCTTATGATGACATTTAGTACACAGTCTCTTGTTAATGGCTGCCAATCAATGATATTGACTATAAATGACAACTTTTATTTAATTTTTAGAAGCTGATGTGATTTTTCCCTATGGAGAATTGCTTGGATTGTTAAACTTATTATGGCTGGATAAATACTTGGAATTTATAGGAGAACCAGGGAAGTTATCACTATGACTACGACAGTCGAGGAGTTTATGGAGCATGCACTTGTCGTGTGGGTAAGTATCCTTTGGAAACTATAATAATGATAGATATACTTGCTTTTAAAAAAATAAATAAGTATTTAACACTACTGTCAAACAAAGTCTGATCAAACATTGTGTATAAATTAGTTTTTTTCTTTATAAAAACTTCGAAAAATGAATCTTAAATCTATATTTCAGCTCTTCCCCTTGACCAGTTGGTACATTTTTGCAAATCCATGCACCTCCCATCCACTCCCACCATTGATAAACTCACTGTCCATTTGAATGCACTGTACACTATAGCTATCCAAGTTTTAACTTTGAAGACAGGATATTGGATTGGTTAATTATGTGAATGTTGTATTAAATGAGTTTCACTTAACCAATCCAATATAGTATATTTTAAATTGTCTTTCTCACCAAAAATTACGAGTGACAAGGTACTGTACTAGATATTGGATTGGATAATTTTGAATGTGGCATAAAAAGCAGGTGAAACATAGGTGAATATGGTGTCAAATGAGTTTCACATGTTGTATCCCGAACTATTATCTACTGTAGAGTAGTCACCTGGAAAGAAATACAAAAGATAAATACCAATTAGGAGCTTACCTGGATTACATGGGTGGCTACCACTTCAGTGAATGATGGAAATATAAGAGCATAACCCAGTCTTCTATCTATCTATTTCCATGTGTTGGTATACTCTGAGTTTTTATTTTAAGGATCTATCTTTGATAGCTGTTGATTTCTTACATTCTACAAAGTGTAATATTTTACCAGCTACAACTAACATTGCTTATCCTTAAGCTGAAGTCTTATTAATCATCATCATAATGCTATGTAACAAATAGGCATTCTACCACTAACCATTATTCGATGCCAAGCACTTTATTTTGGAGTAGACCACAAATTATGTTGTGTATCCATATTTAGACAAAATAAGAGTACTGTACAATAAATAACATTGCACATTGGCAACTAGGATACAGTATGTACCAATTTTGTCCAAATACTGGTACATTTATTTAAATTTCAACACTTGTTTTTCCCAGTGTCATAATTGCTAGACAAGCTAGAGCAATGGTTTTCTTTTTTATTAATTGTGCAGGTGCCTAATAAATTCATGTGTGCCAACCAGTTTGATAATAGAAGTCTTATGAATTAAAGATTTAACACTTAGTAATTAGGAACACAGTTAATTGCTAACTCAACAAGATTTACTGGTATATTATAATTCATTGGTTATTGATGAATAATAAGAATTATGAATAAATTATAACATTTTCATTTCCTATTACTAATGGATAAAATGAAATAATATAATTTATATATAATATTTTATAATATGTTTTATAATTTATTAAAAGTAATTCATATACATGTGTTAAATACAAAGTCTGTGATGCATGTTCTTGCATCTTTTTTCAAATTTTTGCCTACTGTACCTCTTCTGTCAGATTAATCAATGTATTTTGTATACTGTAGTTATTGTATTTTCTTGCATTAACGGTTGCCCTAAATACCACTTTCATTAATTATTCACAAGCTTATATATATATTTCATGTGACATCATCAAGTGACTTTAACTTAACATTGTTTAATGTGCATCTTGGAATGTGAACTTAAATTTAAAAGGATTGATATAAATAATTTATTTGCCTAACTTTTAAATAAATAATTATGCTATACAGCTTAGATGTGAGCTATCACACCATTAAACTGTGTTTGGAAATTAAAAATAAATGATTACTGTACTCACAGAAGAAACATTTTATTTGTAATGGTTGTTCTATTTACTGGTAATTTGTTGAGTTTGCAAAGGTAGTAATTAGCATAAAATAGTACTAGTCCATATGTCCTTGATTTTTAGCTGAGATAAATAAATTACTAATATCCTGCATTGTGTTAATTTTCTAGTTATGAATCTTCCGGTTATATATTTTCACTTTCTTTGGACTTTGAGCTTTATTGGTTTAAATGTCTCCTTGTGCCTATCAATTATTGTCTTGAGCTGAAATTCTTTTGATTTTACTTTTTTGATTGTTATTGTTGATGTTATTTTTATTATTAAAATGATCATCCTTATAAATTGCATACTGTCATCATCATATTCATTATGATATTCATAGTCCAAAACAATCTGGTAACCATGGCAATCTGGTCATATAAACAATTATGCACTCCCTGGAAAGTGCTGTATTGTACAACTGTGAACTGGCAAATAAAGTGCATTAGGTCATTCACCTCATTTATCTGGTTTTAGATACCCTAGATTAAATGCAAGATCTGCATTGTAAACACCTCATTCAGTAAACATTAAAATGACCACCATTCAGTTTGATATTAACTTCAGTCCATTTAGACCTATAATATTTATATAGCAAATTTATTACCAAAGGATAAACCTATCAATTATTGTTATATTATGGTCACCATTGATTTATGTACTACCTGGGTCTTTTTACCCTTATATTTACATAGCTGTATCATATTAAATTGACCCTAGTCTATCTACCTTAAATGTGAACTTGCAAAAACAGTTTTCCCCCTTAACTTTACACCTTAACCTTACAAAGGCTTACCATATTATCCTCACCCTGGTCTACAGTATCTATTTTAAATTTACTCCTGTCTTTCATTCCATAAACAGGTGAAGACTGTAAGTAAAGATGGTGGTTCGCTAAACTATGCGAACTTGATCGACGGCAAGTATCTGAATGCTGTAATGGCAAAGATGTAAGTATTGTAAGGCTTTGAACGTTGAAGACACCACAGAGGGATACATAACTTTTGTAAAAATAGAAACAAATCATTAATTTCATATAAGATAAATAAACACTTGAAACATCTGTTTGATTGGATGTCAAGGAATGATGAGAATGAAAATAGAACAGTACTGCATGCCTATATCCCATGCCACTTTGCTATACATTAGGTAACAGTAGTTCTACATTTTCACTTTTAGTTTATTTTCTTATCAATGATTCAGACAGAGTACACACGTCAGATAATATTAAATTCCATGTTGGTATGGCTACCAACTGGTAGTGTATGATTACTCCCATAATGCTTACCTAATCAGCTAAGGGGTAAGACTTGGTAGATATACCTGATACTTGGGTGACTTACTGTTACAACTGTTATATTGTAATAGAGATGAAGGTACATTATTAAACATAGATCTGGTACACAGCGATTCAGACTAACTAGTGCTTAAAAGTTGTGTTTGTAAAGTATTTCACAAACATTCACGAATCTGATGTTATAAAATATTTTTAAAAAGCCTGCTGTTAGGAAGATTGCCGCCACATGTCCAACCTGCATGTTATATCAAGCATTCCCAGCAAGGTGGGAGCAAGCTGTTTTTTAGGTTCAAAGAACAGATTACGAAATTGTGCACACCAGGTTTTACAGGAGAGCCTCTAATTGTTTCACTTCCTACTCCGCTGTGTTTGTAACCTTTACAAAATAGACTGAAATGAGTCAGTGATATGGCTAAAGTTGTCTCAATCAAAACAACTTCTGAATATCAGTAACTTATTTCTGATCCATTAAAATATGGCCGTAACATGTTTCTCATCCGCTCTGGTCTCCTTTCTTTTAGTGCAAGCCCACGCGTAGTATATAAATAGTCTACCGTGTGCACCATACTTTCAAACAAGAGTGATATTCCCACAAAATGATGTCAATACTTTGAGTCCATATTTTTGTGTTTATTTGCTTTTGATAATAAACCTTCTGTGTTATGGAAAAATTTCAAATTTTATTTAATTATTCAAATTTTGTTAATGTATTTTAATGAACAGTATTTCTTTAAATTTTAGTTTAGTCAACAGTTGAAACTGGAAAGGTATAAAATAAGCATACTGTACCTAGAGTATTGTATACCTGTTTCAAAAATAAACATCCTGAGGTTTTTCCCTGGTGATTGGGTGTAATATGGTAGCCTTCATTAACATCAAGTCCATACATGCAGAGAGTGACTCTAATCCCTCGTCATATGCTACTCTTTTTTGCTAGGCATTAATAAATCTCTGCTATTCTAATTTGTATTTAGTGTGGTGGAAACATGATTCTTGATAATCCTATAATATTTCAATCGGTATTTTGATTGAAAATTGCTGAAAACCTTCAAAAACAATTACTAATTAATCTACCGTACCAATTTCAGTGTTCATTTGGTTATGATAATAAACTTATCAGTGTTTAAATGTAAAAAATTAACTTTTGATCAAATCACTAAAAATGTATCAATTGCTTTTGTATAGTACACTATAGATTATTCCATGCTCTGAATCTAGTGTAAAATATAAAAATAATGATAACACATAGTATTATTTTTACCACCTTTTTCCACATATTTATCACAATTGAAAATTCAGATTACCATCAGTATTTATTTATTATATTCAGCAAAACAATCGCAAATTAGGAAATGGCCAGAGGGGTGCCAAGAGGACACCATGGGCTTAGGGCCCCTGGCCAAGTATGAATGTTTCACAACCAATCAAAGGGCAGATATTTCAGGATGTTTCATTTACAGTTACCACAGAATGGTGAATGTTGATTTCCGAAATGATGGCATTAGAAGGAACTTCACTTATTTCCTTATAATTTTTAACTAATAATTATGTCTAATTGCTTTGCAGAAATTGCCGTTCAAGCGATGTTTCTGTTAGTAATGAATTGAATGGAGAAGTTAACTCGAGGATACAGAACCTTGATCGCCTTCTTAAGAGCATCAAAGTTTACTATCAGGTATGCTTTATAAATAATGCTTTGATAGAAACTTAATTAACCTAAATAAATGATTCTCATAGTATTGAAAAACAAATATGCATTGTATCTGTTAGAAATAGCACCCATTGGATACTGAATTTATTTTACTTCAAACATGACAAAGTTAAAAACACCATGCAAGACAGATCATCAACAATATGGTTAAGAAATATTATCATTCCTCAGTGATTTGTGATAGAATTTTGCTTAAACTTCAATGTACTTTGAAGTTTTATCACAGTGAATATAATATTTAACTAATGGCAGAAATACCTGTAGCTCATTATTCATTACATTACATTTTGTTCACACATAGTGAATAAACTTCAGTATGAAAAAAATACAAAGTAGAAATTGAAAGCTTTTTCTATATATAACTATTACAAAGAAAAGGAGTTCCTGCAGCCATTTCCTGGTGTGTAATGGTAGCAAGACATTTGAACTCATTTTAAATCCTCTGATATTCATTATTATTTGTGTTTTCTTTTGTTCTAATGCTTCATTATTATCAATATTACTTCCTCATCACATGAAACCACTGATGTTGAAATATAACTAACTTCATTAGAATGAAACTCCCTTGTTCCGCTACAGGGTCATTAGCAGTCTGTACTTGAACAGTGGTAATCAGCTATTGATTTTCACCAAGAAAGGGAGAGAAATAAAAACATTGGAGGTTGTTATGTATTGATTGATATACTACCTTTCAACTGAACCTTAGTATAGTGCAGGTTGCTCTTTTTTATTGAGATCAAAGTTCAGAACCGAATGATAATGTATGATAACTCTACGCACTACAGAAACAGTCATTTTTGTTGGTTGTTTAATGTATGCCCGTCATACTCATGCGTTTGCCTCATTATAATGGGTAGTGGTGGTGCTTATAGTTTTAGAGTGAGGTTACTGAATTGTAATGAATCCTAACCTGTCATGTTTGAGACATTTATATCTGACAAACTGTAATAAATATGGGCTCACTAATAATGATGACTTGAGCCTGTGGGTCTGCCACTTTATAGAATTCATATAAAACTGTAGTCTAAATGTTTATGAGGCTTTAGCAATTGAGTGATTTGTCATGGATAGTAAACCATTAATTTTAATTATAATGATAATTAATGTTTAACGATGGAACAGGAGTTATATATGATTGGTTGAGATAAAGTATTCTGTATACTTCTTTGATGAAGTTTTTTTAATGACAAGTCATTGATAAGTATTTGACTGTTTTAATTGGTATAGTCATAGTTAACGATGAAATAATCATTACTTTGAATTTTAAGTTGTTTTGTTTACATTATAACTTTCTTGGTTTTAATTCCTGCAACAAATATTAGAATTTTTAGTTTAAATCTGATGGAATCTGAATAGAGCTGCAAATATAACTTGATGGCTCCATTAGGCTTACCTACCAAATCCGAGGATCAAGAATGAATTCCCAATGGATATTTTAAACAAACCCAAAGAAAAATTCATCACTTGGTATAGTAAGATCAGAGAGTCCATAAGGAATTTTAAGTCCCAAATTGTTAACTCAGATCATGATATTTAGGCTACGTTTTCATTAGGGACTTGATATCAAAGTAAGCCAACTGTAAGTTTAAGCGGTGTGGCGTAGGGTCCACACAGTCAGAATGTTTAGGTTCAAATCTTCAGGAATTTAATGGCAAAACTAATACTGTTGTACATACATTGATGATAGGTAAATAGCAGAGTCATGTCTGTTGAAGTGGTAGGTAGAAATAAACTATAGTGTATTGTAACTTGATATGCATACAGTACATGCTCTTGTCTATAATGCTATAGTTTATCTAGACCAGTAGTCCTATACATTTGTACAGTTGTTGCTGGGGGTTGGCCTATACTAGACGTTTGCGTCGTTGGCATGCTTGGAATTTGTTATAATTTTCCCAGCCACCCTTGACCTCTGTTAGTTTGTAGCATTACCACCAGGGATTATGTTGGTGAAGCAAATATCTAATCATTTGTTTCATAAAAATAATTTATAAAAAAATGTTTTAATAGGCAAGTGTTAATTTCCATTGCCATGTCAAAAGTCCACCAAGGTACTTACTGTGACCATTGGTGTTGGAGCAGGTTATCCAGTAAAAGCATTTAATTGTTGTAGTCTGTACCTAAGCATTGCTTATGAGTACAGTATGTTTGTATTTTTGTAAGATTTTCGTAATGTTTTGTCAGTGAACATTTTATATAAAATACAGTATAAAGAAGGAAAGAGGAAGTATGTTTGGCCTAAAGTTGAAAGGTTAATTAAATAATAATAATAGGATAAACCTTGTTTGAGGTAATACCATTTAAACAAAGGGGAAAAATATAATTTTATCCATGATTTTTTTTCCAGATGTTTATTATACAGTTTACTTGAAATCTCTCAATTATAAGTAAAATAAAATGCAAAATAATTTACATCTAAATGCAGTAAAACATTCTAGAAATTAATTGTTAATGCAAGAAAAAAGAACAATAGAATGATAAATTCAACAGTATCTGAGTAAATAAATGAATGTATACCATCACTAATTTTAATTTCTTCCCTATTTGATTTATGTATTTCCCCTGATTATTTCAATACCATAATAATTCTGGTTATTGATCTATAGGCTTTTGTTCCACGATTGTATGACACAGTATATCTCACTGTTTAGTTAGTGTATTCATTCTGAGTCAGTCTCTATTGTTATATTCAGGTGGAGTCTTCTCGTAGGGCTATTCCAATTTGCTCACAGATGACTCACCAATCAATAAAAAAAAAATAATAATAAATGTATAACAGCCAGTAGTCAATCACATATTTTAAATTCATGCTAAATAATATCTAGACTAATGGGTAGCCATGTTGCTAGCAGTTGACAAGATAGACTTCACAAATAGCCTGTGATGGCTTCATTACAAATTTAGCAATTTAGGTACTAGTTCTATTCTATGATAAATTGCCATCAGATATTGTAATTAACTTATTATTGTAGAGTGCCAAATATTTTAAACTGTACTTAACAAAATACGGAGCTTGAGGAAGGAGATAGACGGTTTTTTTAACTATGCGTTATTTTCAGTGAAGTATCAGTATAGTTATTAGTAGAATGAAACACCACATGATTACACTCTATGGTCTGCGGGGTTTTAACTATAGAAAACTAAGGGTGGGTAGGTGATAACACTGGTAAACTCTAAATAATAAGAATGGATATTAAGGATAAGCAAGAGGGTTTAATAATGTTGGATGGAGGGCCATGAAATAATCCTTAGACTGGGTGAAAATTTCAAGGCTGGGTGCCCCCGTATAAGAGACAGGCATCTCTCACCTGCAATATGATGGCAAAATCATTGTTGTATTGAGGCTTATGAATGATATTAATTTAGGTCTAGTAACAAAAATTGATTTGGATTGGATTAAAACTGATTTTTTTTTTTTAAATTTTAAAAATAGGCCTATACATAATCAAGTATCATACATTTCAAATTGCCATGTTGCTTTCTTTCATGTTGTGTAAATTTTCATCTAATTTATAATATGGCCATAGTACCTTACTGTTTTATTTAATTTTATTAAATAGTAGTTTTGAATCTGATTGGATTGGATTTATTCGGTGTAAACACCAAGGATAGCCCACGAAAGTCTAAAGAAAGACTTATTTCCAGTGGGGTCCTTCTGGTGGTGATTGGACAGTACACCGGGAGACATTCCCCTACTCTTTTCCGAAGAGTGTACTGCGTTCTTTAACGTGCACATGGCTTAAACGTCTCATCCGAAAGATGGTACGCTATTGTAACTTGTACTTCAGCCCTTTAGCTGAAACACAAGGAGAGGCAGCGATGGGAATTGAACCGGGGACCTAGAGATCTCCACGGTTCAGCGCACACACAGTGGCTACCACCAGATTAGCCGACTGAGCTAAGCTGCTCTCTAAGATCAAAAATAGATTCTGTATAGTATTATTAATCCATATTGTGTATGAATGAAAGCAATTGAACCAGGTTTTAATTAACAGCAATTGTGCTCATTGAACTTTTTCCATATTGAGATACAGTCTCTTGTTAAGTATGAGTCAGTAATGAGTAGATGATGAGTAAGGGTGTGGTATTAAGTATTACGAAGGCAACTCTGGTAATATCCAAATAAATATTGTAAAAACTCTAGAAATGGATAATTGTTCTTTCTAATAGATATTAAGGCAATAAATATGAACATATCTTACTATCTACTGCACCCATTTTCATCTTTTCATTCTCAATTCTCAGTTGCCCATGTCTCCTCTTAATGTTTTCATGCCTATTTTAAACTGATTATGTCATTAATGGACAGGTGAAAAACATGGGTGTGGTACCTATTTAAGGTTAATACAGTATGGCTCCAGTAAAGTACGGTATGCAATATAATTTAGAAGTAGATTTAGGAGATTTGTGTAAAATGATACATAGCTCATTTTCAATATCCATTTTTACATGTTCATGCCATATCCACTGAGTAATGTACTCAGTGAAAAGAGATGCTAATGGCCATGGGTGTGGTCCCATATTAATGGCAGGTTCAGCCACAATGTAGGAGGTAGATTAAATACTGAATTGCAGCTGTTTAAATGGTCTTAGGTTAAAGCATGGATGCTGTTAATTAAATGATGCAGTAGGCCCAGGTAAATATTGAAACCTACTGCATCCCGTGTCTACCAGTAATACTTGATCAGTATGGGTGTGGTCCCATATTATGGTCACTGTTTGTTTAGGTAAATAGAGCATAAATAGATAAACATGTCTTCAGAAAGACGGCCCTTTTTACTGATAGTTTATTTGATTTCAGTTATCAGTGGTTGATCCAGATGGCCAGGGGTTCAGGGGGTTCGGACGAACTCTCCTCTGAAGAAACTTAACAAGATACTACTAGGCCCTGGCTTTCAAAAGGCATGCTAACCTACCTAGTTTAGGTTGGCAGATCAGACAAACCATGCTTAGCCCAACTAGCT